CCCACCGCGCGGGGCGCCAGCGCAGTCACAGGCCGCACGCTGCTTCGGCCGACAGCAGAGAGCGGGCTGCTTCAGCGCACGACACAGCAGATGGGGTGGCCTGGGCGTGCGGGGTGTTGGGTCTAGTGTGTGTCGGGCGTGTGTGCCTTGCGCGCGCCCCCTCACCGCAGCGCGCAGGCAGTGGCGCGCGTGTGGCCATGTGATCTTCCATCCTATAATCTTCTTCTACACCCCACCGTCTGGTCAAAAATCTCCCGCCCTCGCCTCACAGCGAGTCGAGCCCTATCACACTTGGCGCAGTCCGCAGCAAGTCGGTTCCGAAGGAGTGCTCCTGCTCGCCGCCGCGGCGACTCCCGGCGCAGCCTCCCGCTCCGTCGCCGTCGCCCTCGTCGCCCATACACGACGCGCCCTCGCCGGGGCTGCGGCTGGGCACGTCAATCGCATAATCACCCGAAGGCGTCGGCCCCGCCGCGTCAGCCGCGCCCGCCTCGCTCGTCCTCGGGAGCAACAGCGAGCCCTCCATCTCCACCGCGTCGCCATCAGCCTCGCCGCCGCCGCCGCTGCCAGCGCTGCCGGCGGCGCCACTCGAGCTCCTGTGCTCCGCACCTGTCCGCGCGTGCTCTCTCCACCACACCACGTCGAGGCCGAGCAGCAGGAGGCAGACGCACCTGCGCGCATCACACAGCGGCGCGTGGGCGCGGACGCAGGCAGGCCAGCATGGGGACAGGCCTGCGGGAGGTGCTCACGGAGGCATCGTCGCAGCTGCGCCGCCAAAGATTTCGGCGGTGTCCTCCCACAGGTAGAGGTCGCGGCACAAGAGGTACGTCCACAGCACCTGCCGCCGCACCCGCGCGAGGCGGTCGGCGGAGGCGGCGGGGCGGGGGCGGCTCTCTCTCTCTCTCCGGTGGGCAGGCGGGGAGGTGCAGCGACGGCGTTACCCGTCGGCACGCAAAGACGACGCCGCGAGCATGCCACCGAGCGACGGGGGATAGCACCCTCACGGCGGTGAGCGCCTCTCCCCAGACGTAGAGGAAGTACCCGCGCGGAGGCGACGGCAGAATGAAGTAGGCGGTCGGGACGAGACAGCCAACATGGTGCAGGTACACGGCGCCCATCGAGCGGCGGAAGCGGTGCCGGCATACGACGCCCACCATCATATCGACCGCGAGATAGAGGAGGAACGCACCGCTCACCACCAGGCCCGAGCGGCCAGTTGGCGCGTCAATACGCTCCAGCGCGCTCTCGCCTTGCCAAAAGGCGAGGCTCGCCGGGTCCTCTAGCACCTCGGCAATAGCACGGGACCGTGATGGCCAGCGTGCAATACCCGCGCCAATTTTTGGGGGTGGCTCGAAGCGGGTGCTGGGCATATACTCGTGCGCATTGG